TTATTATTAAAAATAAACCTATATCTATAGGATTTAAGATATGAATAGTCAGTTTCAATTAAGGGTTATAACCTTCCTCAAAATTATTATTTCGTATGATTGGGGAGTAAAAGGAATTGTTATACTTATAAGGAATAGTTTTATAAGACAAAAAGAGTTATATTAAAGGAGAAGTCTATTAATTTTAGATAAAAAGAAGTAAGGCATAAGAGCAAATAAGGATATAAAGAATATAATATTCCTTTATATAATAATAATAAATATTTCAATAGTTATCATAGAATATAGTTCTAATATTATGAGAATTCTCAGGGTCCTGATGTTCTGATTGGTCACTAAGATCCCTGTTAAGCGAGGCGTCATATAATGGCGGTCTAGGGGATAAGCTTTTCTCTCATCTCATCTCATCTCATATCATCTACCCTACTATCCTATCCTTGGGTATTTATTTCATCTCTCTCACTCTCTTTTTCTCACTCATCTCTCTCTATCTCTCACTTTCTCATTTCTCTTTCTCATGTAATCTTGATTCTATCTCCTTATTGATTGTCAAACCCCTTTTCATTTACTCCATTCCCTTGATATTCCTTCTCACATTCCTTCCCACCTATTCTCAACCTCACCCTCACCCTCATCCCCCTTCTCACCTACAAAACACATACACATACTACACACACACATACCTAACTACCCACCCACCTCTTTGAAATCTAATACACAATACACAACTCATTTCAAAAAATATGTTACATTCTAGTTTTCTTACATTCTATCCTAGCTTTACATACAATACTCGTAAGGTTACATGAATTGATTTCGACTCGTGTTTGGAATTCAGCTTCCAGCTTTCGATATACACTGCGTGGATTGGCTTGCTACTATTATGATTACTGTTACTGTTCGATCTAAAAATCAGATCAAATCTTTACTTAGGTAAACCGAGTAACTATCTCAAAAACATTCATTTATTCATTCATTGACTCACTCCACTTCGCCTAATCTCGTTTCTTTCCCTCAAAAGCATATTCACTACAACACAACATCGCTTTAATAAATGCTTTAACAAATATCATAATTCCATCAATCAATGAGCCTACTATCATGCACGCATATCTAATCTACTACTTTAGATTCCAATATAAGCCTGTGGCCCGTCGAATTCCCCTCCTCCCAATCGCTATATCCATATTCAATCACCACTAACAACCAGGCACAACAACTGCATCGATAACCGCTGTCGTACCCCCCTTAACACATTCCACAGCCTTTAGCAAAATCTTCTCAACCTCACTAGCTTTTGATATCTTCTCGGCCATTACACTGTTTCCAGATGCGGCTCGAGCAATTCCCGCGTAATCTGGGACTTGCGGTGCGAATGATATGTTGAGTTCCTCGTTTGTGGCTTTAGATCCGATACCTGGAATTTTGTTAGAGATTTGTCACAAATGAGAGTTAGAATGTGAAAAATAGAAGGAGAAAAACGCACCATCTGGATGAACTAGCATGAGAGATCGTTTTGGTGCGTGCCAACCTGCTCCCTCATTAGTAACTGTAATCAGAGTTTCTACATAGTCCATTGATGATAACATACCCTTGTTGTTCAAAACAATAGTAAGAACCGGAATTCCATATCTTTGGCAAATCCAATAAACACTTCCTGGAACCGAGAATAAAAATGTTCCATCTCCAACAATCTGGACGACAAACTTTCCCTTTCCTTTCCCATTCTCAATCTCAGATGCCAATTTAATACCTAAAGCTCCACCACCAGACCATCCTAATCCTCCTCCTCCACAGTTGATCCAAGAACCGGGAAGAGTAGCTTGGATATTGTCTGCTACGAAAACTGTATTGGTTACGGCTTCGATAGCGAAGATTGTGTCAGCAGGTACGATCTTACGTAGTTGTTGACAGAGGTAACCGGTGCCGAAAGAATCATCATCAAAAACTTTTGATGAAGCAGCGTTGATAGATTCAAGGCGTTTGGTATGATCTGTAGCAAGAACTTCCCATCGCTCGGTGTATGGTGAGGAGGAGAGTGTGTTGGCGAAGTCACTAGCATTTTTTATGTATTTTGTGAGTTGGCTTATAGATGTGTAACTATCTGCTCTGTAACGAGAAAGTGCGGCAAGATAAAATACCTAGAATTGTTCAGTGATAATCTTCATAAGAAGTGTTCGCATAGAACAAAACTGGGAGGACTTACTGGCATTTGTTGTTTGAGAGGATCAACATCAATATGGAATATCTTGGCTGATTTTGAAGGATGACACAAAGTGTTAACCCAGGGTACATCTACATGGGGAAAAAAAATTAGTCTCTATATATCGTTGTTGAAAGGTTGAGTATGTACCGCAGTCAATGACAACAATGACGTCGGCAGTTTCAATGGCCTTATCACTGCCATATCTCAATCCCAGCCAAGCACGATGATCAGCTGGAAAGCACATGTCACTTCCACCGGTATCCAAAACACGAAGACCTTTAACTGTATCCGCCAACTCAACTAGAGCTCCTACTGACTTATGATTTCGACCACTATAGCCAGTAATAATCAATGGCTCCTTAGCATTGACCAATGCTTCAGAAATTGTAGCAACCGAACTCTCAGAAAGTGCAGCTGGCTCCACTGCATTCCAATGTTCCTGAACCAAATCATAATCATCAATTTCCTCCTCCATAACCTCTCTCGCCGAATACAGATAAACTGGTCCAGCAGGGGCACTAGTAGCCCATTGAAGAGCCCTATTAACCATCTGTTTGATATTCTTTCCCGTCTTAATCTCCATTGAATATCGACAATATTGTCTGACAATCTCCGCTTGGTTGGGTACATCTTGTATCCAATGAATATATTCCGTTCGTGATCCGCGCATTTCTCCTTCAATTGTATAGGGGGATAGACCGGCAAATATAAGAACGGGTGCCCGTCCACATGAGGCATTGTGAACCGCAGCTCCCAATCCCTGGGTTCCTACGTCAACGTGTACGATTACGCATTGAGGTTTGCCAGTTAGACGGGCATATCCATCGGCCATGGAGAGGGCTACCATCTATGGAACAAATGAGCATATTTCAAAGGCGGGGAGAGAATCTGTTTACATACCTCGTTTGGACATGTCTGTAGATTGTTATTAGTGTATGATCATGTAAATGTAATCAAGACATTGATCAATTGATATATCTGAAGACTTACTATAACTTCTGGCCCCTTGTTCTCCTTCTTAAGCGTAATCAAAGCTTCCAAAATAGAAGGATGATCCGATCCTAAGTTGACGAAGCAATGAGTTACCCCCGCCTAATACATTGTTAGATCTATTCACATGTTGAAGTTTTGAGATGATAAGAGAAGGTTGGTTGGTTACCTCAACAAGGGCCTCAAAGAAGGCGTACGAAGCAGTAACCATGTTTGGTCTTTTGATATTCTCGGTGTTGTGATGATTTGAAAAAAGGGTGATGTGTATTTGTTTTGTTTTTTCAAGAAGTATGGCAGTACAAACAGATGTGCGGGATATATGGTAATAAAAGCTAGAGAAGCTCGGAAAGCTGGGCTGTGAGAGGGGTAGTTTCGGCTTACCAAAACAGTTAGATCCGGGGTACTTCACAGCCAGCGTCAACCTTCCTTATTTGTAGATGTTGAACTCTAATAAGGTTTCATTGAATTAGTCAAACATATAAAAGTTAGATAGTCTTGTGTAATCAACTTCATTCCATTATTCTATTGTCTGTCTAGTGGTCTGAGAATGTTCAGACAGGAACAGAATTCAGTCAATCAAGAAAGTCAATCACGAGATGAGAAACAATAGATCAATCGACGTACTTGTTCCATTCATCCCACCATTTGCCCTTATCCCGCTATTTATCTCTTTGTCTGGTTCCGCTCACACCACATGGCACAATTTCGTATTTGCGGGGTAGTTTCAGGGTACGTTGGCTTCTTGGCTTGGAATCAATAGATTGGATCAGACTTTCAATAGATTTCATCCAATTTGTTGAGTCATCAATCTATTTGGTAATTAATGCTGTCTTTGGTTGAGAAAGAGTATTATAATACGACTTTGCATTCGTATGGCAGGAAGTATATTGGGTTGAAATCATGATTCAAGCAAAGGTATTGAAGACAAATGACGATAGATCTGGAGCAAGTGAAGTAATAAATATTGCCCAAGTTTGATAATTAATGTATGTGTGTACAGTATGCTAAAGTCTAGAGATATACAGGAAATCTTCTCACTCCTCATTCCGAGCCACCAATTCGTCGTGACTTCCTTGGTCTACGCAAATACCGCTGTCGATTGCAAAAATCGTCGACGCCTTTTCGATGGTTCTCAATCTATGCGCATTAGCGATGACAGTAACACCCTTTGATGTCTTTTCCAGAGCCTCTTCGAACAACTTCTCGGACTCAGCATCAAGAGCTGAAGTCGACTCATCAAGAAGTAATAAGTGTGGCTTCCTGAGTAATACACAAGCAATAGAAAGACGTTGTAATTGACCATCTGAAAATTGCCCACCAATGGAACCACAAGGCGTTTCGTATCCCTCGGGAAGAGAACCAATGGTATCGTGAATGTTTGCCAATTTGCATGCAGATTCGATCTCTTCCATGGTTGGGGTATGTCCAACGCGAGCGCCGAGTTCGAGATTCAAGCGAATGGTGCCGTAAAATAGGACACTTTCTTGGGTACGAGTGCAATATCATGGCGGAACGCTACGCCGTCAATCTTGGAATTGTCTTGACCATCAATTTCGACACTACCGGATGCTGAAGAGTAGAAGCGTTCAAGGAGGGCAATGATGGTTGATTTTCCGTCTCCAGAGCGTCCAACAAGTGCGCAGAATGTACCGAGGGTGATGTTGATGGTGAGACCTTTGAGAACTTCGATATCTGGGCGAGTGGGGTAGGAGAAACGAACACTGTTGAAGCGTACGGCAAGACCACCCGATCTAATGGGTTGTTTCTCGATCATTCCTTGAGATGCTTCTGGATCATTTGTTGCTCAGCTGTTCTTGGATTCGAGGAGATTCTCAGGACCAATATCTATCAAATCAAGAACTCGTGCAGCGGATACGCTGGCTTTAGAAATATCAGGAGCAAGGGAGAACATTTGTCCACATAGAGCACTAAAGAGAAGAGCAGGTAGGACCGTGAAGAATTGTTGTTGATTGTAACGTCCTTCTACAACATTTCGACCTACCCGCTGATATGCTAGTGCGTACACGAAATTACTCATACTGTAAGCCATCGCGAGCCAGAAACTTCCGTATGCAATTGTCTTTAGCGTTGCAGTATATTGATTCCCTCTCTTTGTGCTGAACCAATGTGACGAGCGTACACAGCTTCCAAGCGGGAACTGGCACCCATAGCTTGAACCAAAGACATATTTGACAGTCCTGCTAAAGCGATAGCCGTCGCTGCCGCTACATGATCTGACATTCGGCTTGCACACTTTTGAGTGAAGTGTCCTCCCACCATTGCCAAAAAAAGATAGGCTGGTACCAAAGAGATGAGCATACCTGCCGGCTTCGCACTCTTGATGAAGGAAACGACATATGACGCGACGAAGTAGGAGATACTGGCAATGAAGATTCTGACCTTTTCAGAACTTCCTGTTTGAATGGTTTGAAGATCGACATCGAGGCGGGAAGCTACTTCACCGGATGGCAATGTATCGAAAAACGCGACTTCTTGATGTAGAAGGACATCCAGATATCTCATGCGCAGGCGTCTAACAAGAGGTTCACCGAGAAGACTCCAAAAATCCAGTATGGATGTAGATCAAATAGAAATTCGCGATTGTCACGTAAATGACATCTAACACTTTGGTCATAACGCCATCTGTAAGTGACGCTGAACCAGTCGATGAAGTGCTACAAGATGTTGAATTGAGGTCGTCTACCAGTTGGCCGAATAAGATACCCAGTAGGGGGAATGGAACCCGAGAAGCGATCGAGGTGATGAATCCAACCACAAGAAGAACATAATCGAGCGGTTCTGGATCACTTGAAAGTAGTAGAAGTAAGTATTGTCCGCTCTGCTTTTCGGCACCCGCAATCTTGGAGGGCAGACCGACGATTCGATCTTTCAGTGCCGAAAGTTTTGACATGACTGCATTCAAGATGAATGATTCCTACAAAACTCGAATGTCGAAGACACAATACCATACACTTGAACCAACAGAAATGTTTCTTCTTTGACAAGCAATGAATTTTCTGTCTATAATCCGCCCGAGAGTGGCACCGTGGTAATGGAGAAGGGTTCTTAGAATCTACATAACAAAAATTTGATTCACAAAATTGGGCACGAAAATCGGATTGCAAAGCATTGGCATATAAATTTTGAGAAAATGAAAGTTATGAAACACGAATCAGTTCAATTCGACCCCTATCTATTATTGGCAGAAGCGGTTTGCTCCGTAAATGAGATGAATGATTTCGTCGAAAACATGGGTGAGAGCTGATGACTCCATAAAGTTCGTATATTAGTTATCTCGAGAACAAAATCACATCACCGTTCGGAGTCATATATTTGATCAGATTAGATGATCTGATAAGATTCTTCTAACAAGTGGCATTATGATGGGTTGCCAAGGAGGATATATCGAGTAATGGAAACTTACAACAAACAATTAAAACTGGGAACTGACATCGGTGGTTGCATTTGATGGACTAGACGAGATGATCTGATAAGATTATAGAAAAGCTAAGAGCATTAACAGCGGAGCCTTGTTCAGAAACGGTATAAGGTTAGTTCAAAACAATTCCTGGCAGTAACTCAATGGCATACTTGATCTGGACCAGTGGAACAACAGGCCTGCCTGAAGGTGTACAAGTGCAGCATAGCGCCGCAGCCACAGCTATGAAATCTTTGAGGGAAAGCATACCTGTAAGCCGTTCTGGCGCAGTCTGCTGTCTCCAATTTTCACAACCAACATTCGACGTCTTCGTGCAAGATCTCTTCTACACCTGGGATTTGCGCGGAACTGTCATCGCAGCACCCAAAGATGTAATGCTTGGTTCTTTTCCCGATCTCGCTTACGCAACCAATGCGACGCATGCTCATTTGACTCCTGCGTTCGCAACAATTGTAGCTCGCGCTCATTGTAAAACACTCGATGTTGTGACTATGATTGGAGAAGCCTTGCCTCAGCCTGTTGCAAATGATTGGTCCCAAAATATTCTCGCGTATAACACTTATGGTCCCTCCGAAGCGAATGTTGTATCTACAGTCAAACAATTTGGCGGTTTCAAAAATCTATTCAAGAGTACAAATGTCGGATTACCATTACCCTCCGTGGGCTTCTTTGTGCTTAACAACGAGCGAGTCGTCATGCGACATGGTTTGGGTGAGCTCGCTCTTTCGGGTCCACAAGTAGCTCGAGGCTATTGGAAAGACCTAGCTAAGACGGAAGAAAAGTTCCATTGGAATGAGAGTTGTGGAGCCCATATATACATGACCGGGGAAATTGTCCGTCGGCTTCACGATGGCAGTCTAGAGTTCGTGGGACGTCGTGATGATCCGATGAAGATCAACGGAATGCGAGTAGAGTTGAGCGAGATCAGTTTTGCGCTCAGCCATTGTCATCCCGATACGGAACAAGCGGCTACTATGCTCATGGCCCGACCAGATCGTCCGATGAAGGTCTTGGTGACCTTCTTATCAACCCCAAGTACTCCTGCCCAAGATTTACTCATTACCAATGATTGTGCGGTCGAAGTTGCCAAAGCCGCTATGGCTGTATCGAAAGCAAATCTCCCAGAACATATGATCCCTAGCGTTTTCGTGGTATTAAACCGCATCCCGGTGACTGCTTTCACCAAGATCGACCGCAAACCATTATCTAGTGCTTATGAAGCTTTGGATCTGGTATCATGGAAAAGTAACTTCACATTTACCCAGGACTCGGTTTGGACAGAAGAGGAAGAACGAATCCTCGAGCATTTCGCCACCTTTTTAGGAACCGAGAGCAAGAATTTCCGATCAAACAGTCGACTAGCAACCTTAGGTTTTGATTCAATCGCCGCAGTGCGTTTCACAGCAAGATTGAAGACTACCGGTTACAAGGTTTCAGCTGCACATATGCTACACTGTCAAACCGTCGCGGATCTCTGCAATCTCTTCAACAAGCCCGCTTCCAATTCCACTTGTCTTGATTCCTCCTCCAGAATACTCGATGAATTCCACCGTCAATGGTTCTCAAAGGTTGCAGAAACCGCTTTAGTTGACGTCAAAGCATTTTCAGTCTGTCCGACCTTGCCACTACAGAAAAATCTTCTCAGTGAACCTTTCCGCAACTATGAGTACTATTGGAGTAACCACTTTTTTGATCTCTCTGATAGCATCGATCTCGAACTTTTGAAGACAGCTTCGTGCCAGGTGGCTCAGAATACCGAAGCTCTTCGTATTGGATTCTTGCCAACGGCTTCGGTGTCTGCAAAAGCAAATTCCGGATTTGGTGCATCGACATTTCTTCAATTGATTCACGAGAAGCCATCTGTAGACTGGTCTGTTGTGAAAATTAAAAACGAGGATCTCGCAACAAGCGCAAAAACTTATGCACAACAAATCGCTCTCAAGCATCAAAGCAGTGCATTTATCAGTTATCCGTGGGCTGTCGTTGTATTCGAGCGTGATGATGTGAGAACAATGATGCTCTCAATCCACCACGCTATCCACGATGGACCTTCCTTGAAGTTCATCATTGATGATATTCAAGCTGCATACACCTCTCAGGAAAACCTACGCAGCCCACGTCACCAGATCCAAGAAGCCATCGCACCTTCCTTCATGCGAACAACCAGTCCACAAGAAGACATGGCCTTCTGGAAAAACACGCTTAAAGACTTTGTCAGCGAGGTAGACGACAGCGTAGAAAATAGGGCTCCAGAAAATAAATCTCGCACCTACAATACCGCATCCATTCCCCTCTCCGTACCAATCTCCAAGCTGCAAAGCACAGCTCAAGAATTCAACTGCTCGTCTGCAAATTCCATCCTCCGTGCCGCCTGGGCATGCATAGTATCCGAGTTCCTCGAGACGGACCAGAAAATCGTGATTGGCGAAGTGTTATCCAAACGTCTGGCTTCTTCTTCCCTCGAAGATATCATCAGTTCTCTCGTATCTTTGACCCCCGTCCCCATCTTCACATCCGGAACCGCGAGAGAAATAGTCAGTAAACACGATTCCATGAATATTGCCGCCTACAACCACCGCGATGCCAATCCGGGTATGCTTCGCAAGCTCATCAGACGACCGAAATCCCAGCCGCTTTATCCCGCTGTCCTTGTGTTCCATCCACACAATACGGAAAGCGAACATAAATACGAGCTCTGGAATGAGATCAAAGATTTCCTAGGTCTGAACTTCGAACGTGATCTCCGCTCAATGTAGAGGAAAATGCAAACGACGGTTTCGATCTCGTTGTCTCGGTTGAAGCAGGTGTATTAGACATACCCGGCGTGGAAGTTTCTCACCAAGCAACTCGATGCTCTGGTCACAGTCATGATTTCTCATCCCGATATACCCATCCAAGAGCTTACCAACTATCTCCCCACCGAATTAATCTCTGTCTCCAAGTATCGCGAAATGAAACTACATCCCGTCGTCGACCTAAATAATCCTCTCTGCTGGTTCGAGCACTGGGCCGAAACCCACCCTGATTGGGCCGCCTCCGAGATCGCAGAATCGATCGGTAGAAACTCAAGTATCATTCACACATGGAGCTATGCAAAATTGAATCAAGAAGCTAACCGCGTAGCGGTATTCATTACATCGCATGGAATTCACGGCCGTATGATTGGTATGTGTCTTGGACGCACACTCACCGCGTTTGCTGTCACAGTCGGAATCTACTCGAGTACAAGTCTGGAAATACATATTTAGCGATCGATGAATCGTTACCGATTGAGCGGAAGACTTTCTTGTTGAAAGATAGTAATTCCGCTATATATTTCACCGAGGAAACTGTCGATTTCGTCCCTGAAGGGTGTTTCCTCGTGAATGTCAATCACAATCAATATCAATACGACAGTGATATCGCTCTGAAATTCGAAAAGAGCAGAGACGCGGTCGCATATCTTCTCTGTACTTTAGGGTCAACAGGTAATCCCAAAGGAGTCCTAATCAGCTGCGGCAATCTCACTTCTTTCTGCGAAGCCCAATCGGAGTTCATCTACAAATCTATCCCTACGACTCGAGTGCTCGGTGGCGTTGGGAGATTCCTCGGATCAGTGAGTAGAGCGTTCGATGTACATGTGGCCGAGATGTTCCTGGCCTGGCGACATGGTCTTTCGTGTATCACTGGAGTTAAACCTATGTTGCTGGATGATTTACCTATGGCGTTGCAAGAATTGAAAATCACACATGCGGGGTTTGTACCGTCGCTGTTGGATCAGTGTGGTTTGATACCGAGTGATGTTCCTCTGTTGAGGTATCTGGGTGTGGGTGGTGAGAGGATTTCTCAACGAACACTTGAAACATGGGGTGATTCGGAGAGCGTCACATTGATTAATGCGTATGGTCCTACCGACGCTACAATTGGTTGTGCCTCGTCTGCCATTGTGGACTCAAAGGTCAATTTGAGGAATGCAGGTCGTCCTCTAGGGGTCACCGTTGCCCATATACTTATTCCTGGTACTCTCACGTACGCTAAGAGAGGAGTAGAGGGTGAACTTTGTCTGACGGGAAGTCTTGTCGGTATTGGCTATCATAATCGGGATACTGGCGCTTTTATCGAGAATTTCCATGCGCGGACAATGTATCGTACAGGAGATCTTGTCAGATTGATGCCCGACGATACAATTGAGAGTTTCGGCCGCTCAGATGATCAAACGAAAATTCGTGGTCAGCGTCTCGAATTGGGTGAGGTCTCTGAAGCAGTACGCGCGTTGTTACCGGCTGGAAGTAATGTATCTTCTCTCATTACGAAACATCTATAGCTTTTCAGAATGCAACTGATCTCATTCATTGCGAGCAATGCTAGGGCCGCGGCAATTGATGAGAAGGTCGAGATGTCAGATACTTTCGAGCAAATTCATGTCAGTATTCGGGCTGGATGTAGGAAAAGACTTCCTGGCTACATGGTTCCGGATGTGGTTATCCCAATGAACTTCTTGCCTCTCGCTCCCATGTCTGAAAAGGCAGATGTGAAGCAACTCAAGGCTCTCTTTTCTTCCATACCGCTAAGTTACTTATTGTCTGCTGAAAAAGGAAAATCGGTTGGTGATAAAACTGTTACGGTACGCGAATTGAATGAGCAAGAACTTGCTGTGGTTGAGATACTCAAGTGTGTGGTTCCAGCTACCTCTGCAGAGCTCACTCCCTTGACCAACATCTTCGAAGTTGGAGTAGATAGTTTGTTAGCTATCAGTCTTTCGACCCTGATGAGAAAGGCTGGATACACATGCAGTGTTGCTGATGTTCTCAGTATTAGCACGGTTGAACAATTAGCATTGTTACCACGTGCAGATATTACACCGGAACAGGCCGCCAAAACCAGAGAAAATGCTCTGAAGAAAACTGCTCGTGCCGAAACTGCTTTCCGAGACAGCCCTTTGGGCAAAAAGTCCGGGATGAACGTTGAAGCCGTCCGACCCTGTTCACCCGTTCAAGAAGCCGTTGTAGCTCGATCATTAAATAAGGAAGCTAGTGCTCTATATGTCAATCAGATCATAATTGAGTTGGCTTCTGACATCGATACTTCGAAACTCTCCCAGACTTGGAATTTCTGTGCAGCAGCCAACGAAATCTTAAGAATCTGTTTCTGCCAAATCAATGATGATATCTTGCAAGTTGTACTCAAGAATGACTTTTCGATATGCCATGGGCAGAACACATCTACTCCAAATCTAGCAAACATTGTACTCCTGACAAGATGCAAGAAGCAATTTCTCAAGACATCATGCAAATATCGAAAACACACCACCAATCTGATTCAATATCTTCACAGAAGGAAGCTCGAAATCCATCCTCTTGATCTCCATGCATCACGCCCTTTATGATGCCAAGTCCCTGACCGTTCTAATGCAAGATGTTCTAATGCGCTACCAAGGTATCCCGACCTCCAAGCGACCTTCCACTAGCGCGCTAGTAGAATACGTCGCTTCGCAAGACGAACTTGCTGCGAAGAGTTTCTGGGTTAAGAAATTGGGAGATTACAGCCCTCTACCTCTTACCAACGATGAAATCAACGAAGAAGAAAAAACCGAACCTCAAATATGCACACGAATTTTGAAACCCAATTTGAGCGCGATCGAAGCCTTTGCTTCCAAATTACACGTCACTCTTCCTTCATTAACACAAGCGGTATTTGGTCTTGCAATAGCAAAATTACTTTCGACTAATGATTCCGTGTTTGGGCTTGTCCTCTCCGGACGTACAGTTCCTATTCCTAATATCAAGAAACTTCTTGCTCCGACAATTACGACTGTACCGCAACTAATTGGTCTTCGCAAGAACGATGCCACTATTCTGGATATCTTGACTGTGCTCCAGAAGTCTTCCGGTCAAATGCTGCAGTTTCAGCATAGCTCTCCGAGATCGATTCACAAATGGGTGGAAGCCGATCGTCCGCTCTTCAATTGTCTCTTTTCATTCATGAATACGGGGGAAAAAGAAGCGGACAATGGCTTTGGAAAATTGGTTGATAGTTATATGCCTCCTGATTATCGATTCGCGGTCGAATTCGAAGCAAGACATCCATCAAATGATTCAGTGATTTGCGCGGGATATACCTCCAAATTTGGCTCTGCTCCTAAAGTCAACAATCTCCTCGAATTGATCGAGTTACTTATCGATACGATCTCCAAAAACGATAATATTTCAATTAAATGTCTCGGTATCTAATCTAACTATAGCATCACATCTTCCTCCGAAATCTTTGACGACGGCGAAGAATTACCCGAAGACCAAGCGAGCAAGACCATCTTACTCGGCCTCGGCGATTTTGCATCCGAAGACGTTTCTCGCACCAGTACCTTTCTCCGTCTCGGCATCGGCTCCGTCATTGCTATTCGTTTCGCCAAAGAACTGCGTAGCGTGGGTCTCCAGGTTTCATCTTCGGATATCGGACGATATCCCAGTATTGCAGCTCTAGCAAGAGCTGTTTCGGGTAAGAGCAAAGCCCAATCGACTGCTAAACCCTCTATAGTCAAAACGACGAATTTGTTGGATAAACATAAAGCGAGTAGTCCTCTGTTAGCGGAAGATGATAAAATTACTGATATCTATGCTTCTACACCTCTGCAAACCGGTATCTTAACCCAAACAATTGCTACAGGTGGAAAATTATATCTTCATTATCCTGCAGTCAAGCTCTCTCCAAATATCGATATTGCCCGTTTGAAGAAAGCGTGAACATCAGTAAACGAAGCGCATGATATCTTGCGTACCACATTCCACTATTTCGAAGGACCAGCCCATCCATGGATCGCCGCCGTGCACGAAAAACCCATCATTCAATGGAAAGAAGAACAAGCATCCGGATGGATCGACAAAAGCATTCAAAAAATTATCGACACGACTAGTTTCTCCACTCCCGAGTCTTTCTCGCTTACTCCTCTCAAAATCACAATTCTCAACTCGTCGTTTACGAAGGTCCTCGTTGCTTCTATTCATCAAAGTCTCTATGATGGGTTTTCCCTTCCTCTTATTTTTTGATTCCTTGTCATCAGCTTACTCGCAGGGGATTTCGAAACCTTCGACTCCTTTTTCTGAAGCTGCAAAACTTATTACAGAGCGTCAAGGGAAAAGTGTTGAGTTCTGGCTCAACAGATTGGATAATTACAAGAGTATCGCCCTTCCATCTTCCACCGTCCCTGCAAAAATTACCTCCCTGTCGCAAATGACCATCCAAATGCCACTTTCCGAAATCCCTCACCGCTGCCAGGAAATGAATATCTATCTGCAATCTGTCGCTCTTCTCGCATACGCCAAAACTCTCTTTTGTTTTGTCAAGCGTCGTGATATCGTATTCGGACATGTTGTCTCCGGACGTTCATTACCACTTCCAGATATAGAACAAATTCTCGGTCCGCTATTTAATACTGTTCCATTTCGTGTTGTGCTGGGCAATCCAGTACTTGGAAATCAGGATTACGCAAGTCAAATCCAAGAAGTGGTTATCCAAGGACAGGAAAATCAACATGCTTCTCTACCTACGATCCAAAAACTTTGGCGACAGAAAATTATTTTCACAGATGGGGCGTTGCTGGATGCGTTATTTGTGTTCCAGAAAGTGGGAAAGACAGATGGGCAGGAAGAAAACTCTGGAGCGTGATGGATGGGGGTGAGAGTCGGGATGCAACGGAGTATGGTTTGAATGTGGAAGTCGAACAAGGAGAGGATGAGGTGATTATCAGTGCTGGATCACCTGATGGCCGCATCAATACTGAAGATCTCAATCTGATTTGTCAAACTTTTGATGAGGCTTTGAGAGATATTCTTGAGAATCCTCAGAGAAGAGTTGTTGCTTTTCCGGAGCAATCGAAAGGTTTACCTCCTGAGGGTATACCCCAGAGCAAGATTGAAACTACAGAAGATTATAGTGATGTGGCGGATGCACCGATGCTCGAGGTTGTTCGTGCAGCTTTGGCGGAGGTGGCTAATTTACCTACGGATTCCGTGACGTTGCAGACGAGCATCTTTTTCTTCGGTGTCAATTCCATCGTTGCAATCCGTGTCGCATCTATTTGTCGCAGACGCGATGTCCCAATTAGCGTTGCCGATATCCTGCAAAAAAATTCTCTCGGTGGTATCCTCCGAATTCTCGTCGCAAAATCGAAAACCATTACTCAACAACAAGATACGACGATAGAAATTCTCTCCCCCGAAGCCAAAGCAAGTGCACTTTCACTTCTCAAACATCCCAAAGCTACCGTGCAGGAAATTTACCCGCGATGGCGGGGCAAGAATATCAGTTAGCTGAAATGCGGAAGAAATTTCTACGAACCAGCTTGGGCATTCCAAGCTCGTGAGAAGATTGATGTAGTTCATTTGAGAAATGTGTGGAGGGATCTTCAATTACGACACTCGGTTTTGAGAACGGTGTTTACTGCTCCCATACCCGAATCTGCGTATCAGATTGTATTCAACCCAGAGGTCATCACGGATGGAACGTTTACTGTTATACCCGCTCAATCAGTAGATGAAGAATTAGTCTCGGCTATTAAACGACAAGTCCATCACTGGACTCAAAGACCCTCAACACTTTTCACTCGACCGATTAGTCTCTGTGTCGTCCGGACCGCAACGAAAGATGCTGTATTATTCAAAATCCATCACTCTCTCTACGATGCATGGAGCATGATTGCACTCATCAAAGAAGTCTGTACTCTCTACACTCAACCCTCGTCTACCTTACCTGTTACACTCGATTTCATCTCCTTTGTCAAATACACGCATTCCCCACTGTCCACTTCCTCCGCTCTCTCAGCTAAAAAATCTTACTGGAGATCCTCACTTTCCTCCGCTCAACCCACCATTCTCACCCTAGCCACAGAAAACAACAGCGAAGACCAAGACCGCAACACCTCCCAAACCTTCCTCCACCTCAAAAACTCCATTCCCCACCTCAGACCCTCCAAAATCTCGCCCGCACCCACAACACCAGTCTCCCCACCATCCTCATGCTAGCATTTGCACATAATCTCGCCCATCTAACCCACACCACGCATCCCACCTTCGGATTCTTCCAAGTGGGACGCGCGAGTTCTTTCAATGGCGCAGAAATAGTGCTCGCTCCGACTGTTAATCTACTTCCTGTTTCTATCCCTGTTTCCGGAGGCGAGGAAAGGGATATCCTGATGGAGATTCAGAGGGATATGAGTCAGCGGATTGCGTGGGAACAGAGTCAGCTGAGGGATGTGGTGGGTTGGGCTCGCGGTACGGAATCATCGCAGCCGTTGTTTAATGCGAGTTTGAATGTGCTGTTTCATGCTCCGGGTAGGGATGCTAATTATACCTCTCCAGCACAAAAATCCGAAGAACTTCCCACCCCCCTCCCCATCGGTGTCCCCACAGATTTCGCACCAAAAAGAAAAATCGAAGGGGAAACAGCAATACAGAGAGTCGATACAACGTATTTGGCGAAGAGGAATCTGTTTGTGGATGTGGGCGAGGGAGAAAATGATTGTGTGGATTTTGGAATTAAGGTCGATGAGATTTTGATGGGGGAAGAGGAAATACGAAGGTTTGTGAAGGGGGTGGCGAGGGAGGTAGAGGGGGTTAGGAGGGGGTTGATGGGTTTGGTTTGAGGTTTGTGTATTGTGGTGTATATTAGAGTGGGCATTATGAAGATGTATTTAGTTGTATGCTATCATTTGCAGGGGGTGTCTCTTTTCTTGGGGTTATGACTTATATGTAGAGTTATCATTGAGTAGATTAGTTCTTAAATTTCCATAATTGAGTATCTAGATAATTACTTGAGATAAATCAGATCTTCCACACTCTACTTTACTTAATCATCCCCAATTCAACAAAGCGCCACAGCTTTTCCTCTTACACAATATATAGTCTATAATACTACCTAAGTACATAGAGAATACAAGAATGTCTACATACCTAATACCTTGGTAGGTAAAGCATTAAGATATAGTGACTAATCAACATCCTATGCCTATCCCCATCAGCTAACAAGCTAACCGAACCCCTCTGTTATTATTTAGAAGCTTTGGATTTATTCACTGAAATATGATTTATATGTTACTACTGAGATACGGTAGTACTAGGTCCTCTCTTATAACTCTCATAACTCATACTACCTACCTATTTTCCTATCTCTCTCTATTTCTCTCTCTATATCTCAAACACTCACCCTCCCAACAACAACTCTATCAATCCCTACATTTACAAAAACAAAACCAGAAATGCTAATTCCAGATACAATGTCTACCTACCTACCTAAATATCACATACTCTTATCTGGATATTTACACAGTACTACCATCGTAATCTCAATCCGCATGTCTCAAGATTCAAGAGTCCAGAGTCAAGAAATGAAGAAATGAGGAAATCTTTGAATTGAATTTTTCTGTTTACCTAGGTATTAAGATGATAAACTTACAATCACTTCCAACTTCAAAGTCTTCAATTCAATAAGATCAATCAATAAGTGAGTTGAGTAAACTGCATGTAATCTGATATTTAACTAAATTATAAAAGTCTTAACTCAAGATGATTAATAGATATCTAACTAGATACCAACCACAACCCCCTCTCCCTCTCCCTCTCCCTCTCCCTTTCCCTCTCCCTTTCCCTTTCCCTTCAACCTTCCAATCTTAAATTCAGCTCAACTCAACTCAACAAAATAATTATATCCAGAAACCATCAAACCAACAAACAAGGAAACAAGGAAACAAGGAAACAAGGAAACAAGGAAACAAGGAAACAAGGAAACAAAGAAAGCAACAGACACAATACAGAAACAAGAAGAATTGATATCAACAGCTCCGATATACCTCCCTCCTTTCTGCTTGATTACCCCATCCATCCATATCTATGTACTCAGAGTCGTGGAAAACTTCACGACTTGACAGATCCAAATCTTACAGTCTTTAATATTTTTAATCTCAATTTCAATTTCAATTTCAATTTCAGATATGTAAGATATCATTCCCATCCTTAATCTCAAATACAATCTATTCAACCCAATGATCACATCACATCACACCCCATCCCGTCCTATCCCATCCATCAAATTTCGCAACAAACATCTCAAACAATCCAAGTTTGAGATGACGGATTACCACAGAACAAAAGAGATTCATTTAAATAAGCAGCTAGCTACTCGGGTATCATAATCGTATCCCCTATCATATCATCACAAAACCGTTAAACAATCCAGAAAATCATTATCCATCGCATCCATATGCATATCATATCCAGTACATATCCCATCAGGTATCATCCCATCCTATCCGGCCTTTCCTACCCCTATCAAATACCCATATCATCATAAACATTAATCATTAAACAAAGAAAAGAAAAGAAAATCTTTCCCCCTCATACCTCACCATCTCCCTCCCCTCCCTCCTTCTCCATCATCCCAAATGATTCTTTCATCTCCTCTCCTCCTCCCACTTCCACCACCAATAGTAGTCCTTCTCTTCGGCATATACCCCTCCTCAGGTCCCTTCTGTCTTTCCTTCAACCTATCCAAAACCTCTCTATCACCCTCGTCCCTCGCCAAAAAACTTGCTCCCCTCCCTAACCCCGATGCATGTCCATCATCCCTTGCCTGCCTCTCCCTCAACCTAGCATACATATCATCATCCTCCTTTTTCCATCTCACTTCATCATCTCTCCTATCGATTCCCCTCTCCACCTCCTTTCCCCTACCAGGCACAGAGGGTCTTCTCCTGATTTCTTCATCTTCCTTCGCAAATGCCTTAACCTGTTCCGCCAACCTCCTAGCATCATCCGCTGCTTTTCTTTCCGAATTTGCGGCCTTCCTCATTCTTTCTTCCCTCTCCTTATCATCCAATGCCTTCTCTCTTTCTCTCTCGCGCCTATGTTGATCTTCTCTTCTCTTTTGCTCATGCTCATCTGCTCTACGAAGCTCATCTTCTCTTCTCCTTCTTTCCCTATCTCTCGCTGACTCCTCCTCCCTTTTGCGATCGGAAGATCGAGCTCTTTCTCTTTCTCGAAGAAGTTCTTCTTCCCTATCTCTAACTCTCTGTCGTTCAATATCGTTGTTTCTTTCTCTTTCTTTTTCTCTTTCTCGCTCTAGTTCTCGAATCCTCAAAAATTCCTGATACTCGACCTCCCTTCTCCTCTCACCCTCCATCTTCTCCTTCTTCTCCATTCTTATTCTCTCCCTCTCAAATTCTTCTTTTTCCCTCTCTTTTTCCCTCCTTGCTTCATGAACTAACTCAAAACTCTTCAGTCGCTCTCTCTCAAATTCTCTTTGTCTCTCTATTTCTCTCTCTTCTTCCTCACGACGAATACGCATATCTACCAATGCCTTCTCACGACTAGGTGAACGCGAGGGAGGTTCAGGAGCTAAAATGATTGGAAATTCTGTCAAAGGTCTCTCTCTTTCCTTGCTATAATCCCTCTGATCTCGATGATGTTCTACAATGACCGTACGAACAGGATTGAGACTGCCATTAGGACTACGTCTTGGAGTTGGACGATCATCGACTGACAGATTCTTTGAGTAAAATTCTTCCGTGGCGGGTGAATCAGGAGCATATTTGGAAAGAGTCTTGGAACCTTCTGGACTATCTGGTGCATCGACAATAACGATGCGTTCTTTAGGATGTTTGCGACGTGTGAGAGCTGAGACCAAAGCACTCTTTCTTCTCACAAGACGCAGTTGAGGTTCTCGACCTGGAGATTTTTCTTTCTTGTCACCTGGAGAGTAACGATATGTACTTGTTGTTGTAGATTTGTGAGGTGAAGGCTTGGGGGTGGAAGGTACTTTGAGTCCTTGGTCGAGGTATCCTTTGCTAGAAAGGTCATCATTGGATTCGAGAGTACGAGGAGGATGTTTGTTGATGATGTCCGCAGGACAAGAGATTCCATCTTTTGCATTAGGACAGACTATTGTCTGATGAAACTCGACTATTCGCTTAGGGTAGCAATCGGTATAGATGTGTGTCACGCACATTGTGACCGTGAACTTTGAGACTTCGGTTCGGATGTGCTGAGGTAGACCTTGTCCTCCAAGACCTGAATTCGACTTGTGTTATCGAGTTGATATCAAAACGATGAGTAGTTTCCCACTGGGTCTAGGACTTGTTTGAGTTGAAGAGTAAGATGTAATGACTCAAGGTGATAGGTATGTGCGGCTTTATGTATGGATATATGTGTGTATGAAAGCTGTTTCGTATTATATTATATGATTGAAGAGAAGAGTAGGTATGTAGAGAGATGTGTGTTGTAAGATGCAACAAGTTTGATTGTATAGAGGTTAAGTGGAGTATATCAAAGCGACAGGAATCTGAAGGATGTTGTATTAGGTTAAACGCAAGTAGTGCTATGTTTAACAAGAGAGAGAATGTGGAGAGAAACGTGCGGATAGGATGGAGGGTATAGAGGAATTAAGTATTCTCTCTTAACACCTGAGTAGATTTGACTGTACCAGGAGTGTGACTGCCTAATAAAAAGGTCTTATAGTATCCTTTCGGTCAATACTTGTGGCCGGTGACTGTGCATTTAGCGTGAGTTGGTTCCAAACTTTTGTTTTCGGTAGGAAAGGTGTGGATGGGTGGGTATTGAATATAGAAGAAAAAAATAAAGTCAACCAACTTCGCATTACACTTTTTTGCCATCTTGAATAAGGTTCTATAATCTGCAAGTATTATTCGATAGTCGAAAGTATCACCGGGGAATAGGAATTCAGGAGATAGCCTTTTTGCCAGCAATTTTAGTATAATATGAGGGTGTCAAGTTTATGTCTGATACGAATAGTAGAAAAAGTAGGGTTGTTAAGAAAATAGTATAAAAAAAGTTAAGAAAATGTCAAGAAAGTTTCCTTTCTCAGTAAGAAAGCGGCGAATGAGAAAGGCGCCTCAGCCACTCGACAGGCTGAGTAAGACCCAAATCGAACCCAGATGGTCAACCAACTTCCAAAGTAGTACCAAGTCAGGAATCGAGGCTTAAAATGAACCCATGAAAGGTTAATAATGATGGATGACGGAAAAGATCAAAATGCAGGAGTAAAAAGACAAAACTGTTGTATGTCGTATGTTGTCAGCTTGGTTTGTGATGACTGTCATGACATGTAAATGATTGGAATGTGACAGTTGCTATGATGAAGAAGTAGAAGTATACTCGAGTAAATCACTGAATCGGATGAAAGAAGATGTAAGAGAGCAAAAGACAAGAAAGGTACAAATATCCGAAAATAGAATCCCGATCAAATGGAAACGAATCCCATAGAGAAGAAGGTCAAGAATAAGCCGAGTGTCCAGGTCGTCGAGGTCGTATATGTCATAAACGTGTAAATTGTCGCGGGACGGCCCTCCAATCTTCAGACCACAAACGCGCGTGTTGAAAGGAGGTTAGATTAGCTCTTATTCTATCCTATAACGTTGATTTCCAAAGAGGAGAAGGCGTTTCATAAAAGAATGACCTATCTTCAGACCCCAAAGAAGATTTGAAGATTGACCACTTTCTCGATGTGTTAGAATCCAATGAAGGGATTAGAGATGGAATGAGATGAGATGAAAAAGAAAAAGAAAAAGCTGGAGTTGATGTTCATGAAGAGGTCGGATGGCCAATTGTTTCTCCTAGACCCCTGTTATTTACTAATTTTGGGTAAGGTGATTGCTTAATTTGGTAACAATCTTTATGGAGAGATTTCACTAGGCCTCGTTGTAAGGTCACGCTTACAAGGAATATCCTTTTTTATTTATGTAGTTATGTAGGTTATTTATGTATTTATTATAATTAAAGAGCTGTCTAACCTTGCATGCATTATCGATGAAGGGATTCAAGGAATTACATATTGAGCCGCAACATTCCCCCCAATGTTTGTATACCGTTTCACCATCAGAATAAGTCTACCTGGAACATTTAATCAATTGATGTAATCTTACATACATATTACTCGTTACGGTTTCTGTAAGCGCTTGAAAGCTAATACTACTAACAGTACTAACGATAGGATTTACTTCGCATTGACTCTCCACGCATGTGATCAAATGACTTCTTGGGGAATAAAACAATCGTCATGAGAAGAATCTAGGTGGGCCTCTATATGAACTTGGGAAAGTTGTATAAGTTATAGGTATTTAGTAGTTGTAGTAAATTGTCAATCGATCCAGTCTACTAGACATCCATAGCAAATACTACACTACACTAGTCAAATATATACAAACCTACTATATACCTTTAAATCTACCCATCTACTCAGCAAACAAAATCCTCAAATGCCAATTTCTAATTCCCAAACACTAATAATTAACAATCATGTAAATATCACTTCCATGATATATTAACCTTAATACCTACCTATCTAATCATCAACAATTATATCCATCCCATCCCATTATACACTCATACACAGCCACATACACACACAGCCACAGCCACATTTTATCATTCCACCTGTTGCATTCCCATTCAAGTACCTCCCCTCCTCCCCCTCCCCTAATCAACCCCTAACACAAATAACGAAACTATACATCCACAATTCATAATTCCCACTTCTCAAACCAATCTCCCATCCCGCATATTCCTCGCCCAGGTCACAGTCGCTACTACAGTATGCTATCCTATGACACTACTACGATACATCAAAACAAGTTGATCGATTGATCAATTGCCTACTTGAGCGAGTTACTGGGTAGGCGGGTGAGATCTTACATATATATATATAAATACATACTCGAGTACAAACCTTTTAGATAATCCTACATCTATACTCCAATCCATTCATTGACAGCAATAACAACCATAATTAAGAATAACAATAACAACAACACAATGATGAATAAAATATATAACAATTACTCCTTCATCTACATTCATCAATATAATCATCACTAAATTAGCGCTCTCATTCATCACTCACATCCTCCTTTAGGATTTAAGATACTTTACTCGCTTGGACTACTCGAGTAATAAGCCTTCCGATGTTATCATGCTATGTTTTGTTGGCGTATCAAATAAATGATCAACCAACTAATAACTCCACAATCAAAAATAATCTCTAAATCTCAAATCTTCAAAATCTATATTCCTGTTTGATTTTACTCTCCTAACTCTTAAACCATATATTCCACAATCCCAGCGATAAGGGTCCATGTCCATTCTAAAGCCTGGTTATCATAACCTTACCATCTCGCTCACACCACAGCCGCCAGGGGCAAGAAAAAAATCCAACAAGATGGTTAAGGATTCAGGATTGCATACATGCATAATGTTTATTTCCTAGTAGTAGTATCACGCAGGTACCCATGACCATTGAAAGGCTATGACAACTTGATTATCTTGGATACAATATGATGTGAGGTCTCGTGCATGACTGCGGATATATGACTCGATTTGTGTCTTAGATAGACCTAGGTGGCCAAGATGATGTCAAAGAGGGAAAAATCACTTAGAATGAGCTTCCCTCATGCATGCATGTAAGAAGCCCATAGTAAGCCACGTGTGGTGCTTGCTCTTGCATTTCGGGATCAATTTTTTGCATGGCCACCACAAGCTTGAATCGTAAGATATCACCCCTCCAATATCGAAACACGTGATGTTGGTGACATCTGCCACTATCATCTGAAACCTAAAAGTAATGTCTTTAAGAAGTCTTTAATTGTGATTGATATAATGAAGAAAATCTCCTCAAATATCGACTTTGAATCCACTTTGCAAGGGAACACCATCTATCGTTTCCCTCTTTTTCGCTCAGACAGATGGTCACCTTGACCAACGTTTTATCAGCTGCTCTTTATGAACATTCTTTAGTTGTAATCTTTGTAGATTTACGGCTTCGAGATTCTCCTGTAAATTCTTGATTTCCTCCTCAAATGTATTAAATGACGATACAATATCTGGATCAAGTAGTTGAACCTCCCCGTATACTGAATCAGCTTGAAGGGCATTGTAAAGAAGTTTCATTGTGACATCGGCATTATGCACATGTGAAGATATGGTGGTTTCAGTTGTTAACTCCAGATTGGCCATGTGATTCTTAAGCTTCTCTGTCCTTTCTTGCAGAGATTTCTCCAAAAATTCAGTCCGCGCGTCATCCGTGTCGTTTTCATTCGGAAGTGTGATTCCCAAATTGCGAAGTAATTGCTGTTCGGCGTCCATCTCTTCAAACATTGAAGAACGTCGGCGATTATTACGGGATTGTGCTTGTACCTGAGAATTTTGTCGCTGACGTGTAATCGATTTGCTAGACTGTGAAGTTGCTTGGTGTTGAAGCTCTTTCTTTCCGGTATCTATTGCAAATTTAGTGGCCATCTGATGACACTGATATTCTTCGATATGTTCTGCATATAGTGCTGTACGCTTGACGAGAAAACTAAGGCATTCTTGCATCTAATGAATTGGTTAGAGATCTGTGTCTATTTGTTAATGTAAAGAAACCTACGTATTTCAAAGCTTGGTAAACTCGATCTTGACCCGAATCTCCTTTAGCAGCGATTTCCCGTAATGCCGGTTCCAGATATTGCTGTTCGGCAGACATTTGAGCCACAGGTACTATCTCGGAATATAATGATTCGAGCTCTTCTTGTAATTCGGCGACTTCCTGCTTGCTTGCAGCTTGGGGATCTGCACCAGAAGTACCATTAAGAGCTGCGAGGTATATTCGATCAAGCTTTGTCCTGACTCCATCGACAGTATGTTTGATATACCTCGCACAAAGATCCCGTATTCTTGAAATAGTATCATGATCTTCTGAAGATCCAGGATCAAGCTCTTCCGCAAGCTTTTGCAAACTTGTTAATAATCTATCATCCGCCCTGAAGATCTCATCCACCGTTTGTTTGGCATCAGATTGTGATATTTTATTTTGTTGCTCCAAGTCCGAGAGCTGATACATCAAATTTTGAGACAATTCCTCCACCGCTGAGGAGACCTGACCGTTTTCTGCTTCCCATTTCCGTAGTTGTTTTGCATCTGCTTCTGTTCGAGCTACTCCCACCTTCTTATTATTCTTGACAATTAACGCCAGGGCGTTTTGTTGTGATCGTAGTGCTTCACTTTGTTTTTCAATCGCGGTAGTAGATCGTTGTAATTCCTCGATAGCGGTATGGAGTTGTTCATCACTCAAATCGGATATACTTGATGAGTTTTGTGAATTCGCTATTTTATCTATATCTCCTGATTGTGACAGTACCCCATATCTATCTTTGATTAGCATCATTCGCAGAATATATGGGCTCTAACTCACAATGCAACTTCATCCTTGGTCAATAGTGTTTCTGGACCAAGGTATTTTGAAATCCAAGCTTCAACCGCAGCTGGACTACGAGCATAATCGGATTTGATTGCATTACGATCATAAGGTATGCCATAATCTTCTAGAATCTGCAGAAGAAGTTCCAGGTTGCCGCCTTCCATAATGGTTGAAGTTCGTGGTATCACAACCTTTCGAAAGTTTTGATGCACGTCTGCGTCTAGATTTAGCGATGGACTTTGGGAGAATATAAAGTTTGACTGCAGATTTAGAAAGATAGAGCTTTCAGGATCTTAGAGAGCTTTGTCCCGGAAGTTCTGAAAGAGAGGTTATAGGATACGAGCTCGGGGCGTATCATCAACTTTGTGCTGAATTTGTGATATTCGTTTGTTTACATTGCATTGCAAGTGAGCGCTGGAGATTTATATTTACCCCACAAATTTGATGTCGGACAACAACCTACTTTCTGATTTGTCCTATTAGACAACCCTACATTCACCTGAGGATTCAATATCTGGAATCTTTTTCCCCTGCTTGAATGCGGAGTCAAAGAAGTGTGAACAATTGAAGAAATAATTGTATTTCTCATAATCTCTCAAAACACACTACGATAGGTAGGTAGGCAGGCATGAAGATACATTTTTCTCCGATATAGGTCATGATTGTGGGAGATAAGCTTTGATTGAGCTCCCCGGGTTCCCACTCGGTTATGACAGTCGTGATGAAGACAAACTATCTATCCTATCCTAAGAATTATCGTTCTCTTTTTCATGTTTGACTTTAGCATCTTGTATACTTCCGATATATAGGAAATGAGAAGAGTCAATTCTATTGACATAAGTTGAAGAGCCATCTGGAGGCATTCGCAATGGCTTCGAAGATCCCAGATTTTATCTCGGATGGATCCGAAGCTCTCAGATTGGTGAGTATTGATATCTCAAGCCTTTTGGAACGCCCTTTGTTGACATAAAATAGGTAGCTCAACTATCATGGAGACGCAATGTGAAAGCTTGGATTCAAGTCCCTTTTGGCATTGTTTTGATACTTCTAGCATGCTTCGGTATCAATGCTCTTATAGGACTCAGCTCAGTCTCATTTCCTGCATCTGTAGCATGCTTGATTTTGCTATTTCTTATTTTGAATCTTATTGATTTGATTATTGGCCACCAAAGAACGAGAGCGTTGGTCTCAATTATTGATATCCCAGCTGGATGGGCTCTTCGATATATCAATCTTTTTTTCACGCCTTCGTGAGTCATCATCTTTACATCAACAAGATCAGATTTTAAAGGTTGACAGTTTCGTTCTATTGCCCTTGAGTGATAGTATCACTGGTACAGAAGTAGGTAAAATCATAGGAGTATTCCGTGAGTAAAACAACGCTTTACTCAGCTTTCTGTCACTGATTGTTTGAAGTCGTTGGGTTCTTGGTTATGTTCGCCATCACCGCCTGGTTGGTTCGCGGTCTGCAACTTCTAGTGGGTTCGACCAAGCGGGCTATCACTGAAAGAGCTGAGGAGATGGGCGCCGAAAATGATGCTATTCCTCTTGCAGTATCGAGTAATACAAACTTCACGTCAAGCGATACAGTAAATCCTATACAAGAACAAGAGCTGGCTGTGATTAGAGATGCTAGAGATCCACGAGAGTCACCGGAAACAGAAAGTCCACCACCAGAAACTATTGCTAGTACCATCCAGGTTCAACAAGAGCCATTACCACTCACACGAGCTCAAATATGGGCGGCATTCATTAACAGGAACTTAGACCTACTCACATATAGCGTCATCTTCTTCTTCATAGGAATTCCAGTTTACTATGCTACCGGCTATGCAATGCCAGTACAACTCACTTTCAACGTACTAGCTTATTTTGCAGCACAATCCCTTCCAGTCCGTTGGAAGCAATTCTTACACCCCGTTTTGCTATCATCTGGCATCACTATCCTTGGTATATGGATCTTGGGACTTGTTAAGGGCGACAATCTAGATGAAATTTTAGGAGCTTACAAAACCAACACTAAATATATCGCCTACTGGGATGGAGAAAGAAACCTCCCTCTACCCGGTGCTGGTGACATCTTGTGAGTACTCTCATCTCGCAATACCCCTCTTACTTCCACAGAATCCGGAAATCTCAGCTAACCACCCTCATCACTATAGTAATAGCGTCCTTGACGCCTCCATCGTTTCCCTCGCTCTCCCCATGTTTCAATACCGCCACGAACTAAAATCACACTTCATTCCAATCACACTCCCCAGTGTCGTCCTTGCTATCGCCTCATTATTCGGTTATCCCCCTCTCTGCTACTCTCTCGGCATATCTCCTCCCATCTCTCTTTCATTCTCCGTTCGCTCTTTAACTCTCGCCCTCGCTACCCCTGCCGCCACCAATCTGTAAGTAGACTACATTCTTGCCCAATCTTCCAAATCCACCCAATAATAAACTGACCACTTCCTCTCAAGTGGCGGGAACACAAATGCAGCGGCCGCTCTTGCCATCATGTCCGGTATTCTCGGTGTGCTCATTGGTCAACGTCTTCTTACTTTCCTCAAAATCCGCCCCGATGATTACGTAACCATTGGAGTGGCCATGGGTGGAAATGCAAGCGCAATAGCTACTGCATTATTATTAGTTAGTGATCCGAGAGCTGCAGCGTTGAGTAGTTTGAGCATGAGTCTTTTCGGGATTGTGACTTTGGCGTTGACTTCTGTGCCGCCGGTAGTGGAGATTATTAGGGGGTTGGTTGGGTTATAGGAAGCTCAATCAAGATGAGGGGGGGAGATATATAGATTTGGATAATATAGAGGTCAGAAGAGTAAGATGGTGTATGGTTTAGATGTGAGTGGAATGGATTCTTGAATTGTATCATTCTACAAGGTACTGAGTATAAACAAATATACTTAATCTTATTCCCTTCAAATCTCCTCTAAATCCTTTCTTCCTCAACCTACTTTATCTTACTATACATTCCCTTATACTCTGTCCTTCCTTTATGTACAATCTCTTTAATGATATCAAAAACATTTCATTAGAAACCTAATTCCTCTATTACCTCTCTCCCTTTCTCCTTTCTCCTTTCTAGTTTCAATTCTTTAAATCTAAAGAATATATAATAGATATAGCATATCTTTAATTAATATAAAATATAATATAATATAATACAATAGCAAAAGCAAAAGCTACTTTCTTAAACAGACATTTATATATTCAAGAATCTAAATACTATTCTCATTATAATAATATAAAGAAAAAAGAGAAAAGAGAAAGAAAAGAGAAGAGAAGAATATTAGATATTATAAATAACTTCTAAAGGAGTAGATGATATAATATTTTAAATCTCTGAATTTATAAGTAGAGTAATATATTATATATATATCGATATATATAATATTATTACATTAACTATGAATGTAAATATATATACAGATATATATCTATATGATTCTTAATGTGAGAATATAAAGACTAATCAGATGTAATCTTATAATGTATGTTTCTTTTTATAGTTTTTTTTATACAAAATCTCAGTGATTCGGTATATTTCAAGATCACATACAGTACGGAGTAGCTGTATTATGAAAGTGGTTTCAAAGAGGAGTATTTGTATTCGATATTGCGGTTACTAGATACTTAGTAGTGTCTGTTTGGGCATGGATGTGAAGTTGTGGGATTTGAATTTAGTATAGAATAGGCGGGTGGGTAGGTAGTAAGAGCATAGCTTCATGCGATTTTCTAATGTAGGAAATGGATTATTCCAGGAGCTTCAAAAAGGAGTGTCTATCAAATTAACTGCGCAGTACAAGACCGTTTGAATCCCGACCTTCCTGCTTCTCCCCCCCCCAGACTTTTAACAATCAATTATCTATACGCCTCTTCCCCTCTCCTCCATTCGCCCCTCACTTTCACCCCCTACATCTTCCCCTCCAGCACCATCCTCCCTCCCATAAACCCACACAACCCCATCAACCCCATCTGAAACAACCAAAACCAAATACCCTTATATCTTCCCTTTCCCCCTACACCCCCCTGACTATACCCTCTCATATAAACCCACCTACTAACCGTCCACGCACCACCCAACACCGCCGCCGTTCGCGGAAACTCCAATCCGGCAATCAACATTGCCGCCACCGCAACCGAGTGATTCTCCGTAAAATTTGCATGTGCGCGCTGCGCGCAGTTGAATTGGTGGGCTGCGGTGTCGGTGCGGGAAGAGGGGGCATAGGCGGCGGGATAGTCGACTTTGGCGGCTTTGCGGTAGGAACCCGTGTTGATACCGTGCCAGAAGTTGAGGATGAAGGTAGAGGTTGCGGCGAGGATTACGTAGCTAGATGGAGGTGTTAGTGGGATGGAGAACGGAGATGGGAGGTACAGGAGGGAAAATTGTGTACATACCCGTAATCGGGACCGAGAGTGATGGTAACCATTTTTCTTGATTTATTGTTTGTTTTCTTGAGAGATGTGTTGTTCGTTTGGGAACGTATCGAATTATTTATATCGAGTCGTAGGGATATAAATCCTCTTTTTTAACAATGGCGAATCGAAAGAATTGATTAGAGAAACTGTACTTTCCTTCTTACTTTCCCCAACAAAAAACAGCAAGTCCCCTCACAATATAAACAAACCCAAGCTCCCAAAATCCACTCAAACCGACACCATGTCCACATCTACCCAAGCAAGCAAGCGTATTAGAAATCAAAAGATCGCTCCAGAAAGTCCCTCCACCTCCTAGCCATGAATGTGGAGAAGGATAATCGTACTATGTAGGCCTCGGACTTTCATATCTTCCGCGCCCCGATCCATGGTGTCTTGTTTCCTCCGTATCGTCGGTCGGACTTATCTTCGTGCTATGAATCAGCGAGACACATCACATCTCAATCCGAATACTACCGAGGCCGATTTGGTCGATATGACCAAAACCCCAAAAATAGATTTCTGCTTGAAGCAAAAAAAAAAATCTAAAATTTGTATGATGTGGCCATAGAAAACTTGGAAAAAATATTTGTACTATACAGAACGCGATCTCATTGCATATTACTATAAAAACTATATATAATATATCTTTAATTTTTCGAATAATATAATAGCTATAATAATATTATTGAATTATAATACTTATTTTAATAATAGACCTTACTTTTTATTAATTATATAAAGCTTATATAATTACCTTAATACATTTAATATTATAATAAATAAATAATTTATTTAATTTACTTTTTAATTAAAAATCTTTTATTTAATTTAAAGAAAGTTAATAATTATTTTTTCTTTTTACTAATCTTTAATATATTAAATTTAAAATATTTATATAATTTATTAAAGTCTATATTCTTTGAATTATTAAATGGTATAGTTTTAATGTGAAAAAAGAACGAAGTTCTTATTATACTATGTAGAAGCTATTTATATGTACCTTAATACTCTAATGCGCTAGTATTAGCGTACCATTAAAAGTTAATAAAAATCAATATATTAATTTTCATTATTATAATATTTTCCATATAATATTTATCAATATTTTATTAACTATAATATTATTTTATATATATAAATTATCTAAAGTTTTTTTAAAAAAGATTTAATATAAGATTTTGTCGGAATGTATAATCACATGCTTAAGCGAATCACATGATTTTTCCCACTATATATATATTAGAAAGAATCATATCTTATTCTAGATTATTTCAATTTATATTATTCATTTTATATAGGCTATATAGTATTGTATATGATGATTTAAATTAACAATTTCTTTCCCTTAAATGATCTTAATATTAATTAGTATTTATCTTCTAATTAAAAGTATTTATAAATTAGATTATTTTCTAAGGTTTTATATAAAGGTATTTGTATGAAAATAAAAAGGATAATTTAGATTATTTGATAAGATATTCTTTGAAAAGATGAATAAGATTGTACTAGATTATATTTATATATGATTTGTATAAAGGATTAGAATATTATATTCTTTATATTATCTTCTTTAATTAATATATTAAAAAGGGATTTCTGATTATAATTGATTTCTTTAGGATTGAATGGATTGATTGATTTATAAATTAGATTATTATATTTATAGAATTCAATAAATTAATAGTTCAATTCGTATTCATTATATTCTGCTCAAAACTTAATATACTTTTCGAATTCGAAACCTCCTCTTCCTTCATATAAAAAGAACTATTCCACCATCCTCTTTCTATTAAAAACCTTTTATTAAATCCCTCTCTTCTACTTTATAGTACAAAACACTTTCCTTTATATAATTATTAAATCAAAGAAAAAGGATTGTCTACTATCTCTAATAAACCTAATTCATTTAAATCAAAAAGATAAAGAAAAAAGATTATAAAGTTGAAAAGCTTATTACAATACGAATAGTTATTTAACAAAATAGCTTTAAGAAATTCTATATGAATTTAATCTTTATGAATTCGATCTTTATTTATACTCTTGAGAGATATACTGAATTGAAGTCTTACAAGCTTCAAACCGCCATTCCCTTATTAAGAAAATTCAATCTCCCATATTTCAAGTTTTATAAAGAAATAGAAGAATGGCCTACTTCTATTTATCCTCATATAATAATTAAATCCCTCTCCACTCTCAATTCTTTCAAATTCAATTAAATACAAATACCCCACCCAATTAAATCAATTCAACATCCTCCCCTTCAATCACTTTACTTTAATGAATAAAACTCTTCCCCATTTATATACAACTTTCAATTCGATTCATTCTTTCTTTATCTTTTTTAATTTAATTATAAAATAAAGGAAATAAAAAGAAGGAATAACCTTTAATTAGATTGATTTTAGATTTTAAAGAATTTAATTAATATAATTCGCTCTTTATATTATATATTCCAGGTTTTCATTATAAATAGAAATTCTATCTATATCGAAATATATAATCATATATTTAAACAAATCACATGATTCTTTCCATTATATATATATTGAAAAGAATTATACCTTATTCTGAATTATCTCATTTTATATTATTTATTTTATATAGACTATATAGTGCTGTATGTTACGACTGAGGTCGTCACATGACTAGATTAATTGAATATCACCTGACCAAGGTGTCCCACTGAGTCTCACTGAGTAAGGCCCAGTGGGACACAGTGGGAAGCAGTAGGACAACAGAGAACGAAGGTCTATATAAGGGAATGGGTTTCATTACAATGTAGAGCTTCGTGCTCAAGAACAATCATTAGTTTCATTACTATAGTTACGAGAATTGCAACCAGTTACCAACCTTATTGAATTCCTACTTGAAGTCTAGTCTAAACCACCTCGAGAGATCTCTAGACACTTCCACGTGACCCTAGAGGCAGCTCCCGTAACACTTTGAGCACCCTTTCTGCTTCAAGTACCGATTCGATAACCCATCGCTGAAATATGGCAACCAGAATTATCCCTACAGAACAGCCTGCACCGGCAGCAGACACCAACGATGTCGAGATGGCTGATGCTCCACAGGAGATCACCATCAACGAAACCCTTAAGATCGCCTTACCAGACAAGTATCAAGGTAGTCGACAGGAACTCGACACTTTCCTCTTGCAGCTAGAAATCTACTTCCGATTCAACAAGGATAAGTTCACAGCCACAGAATCCAAGAGCGTATGGGCTACGTCCTATCTCAGAGGGGAAGCAAGCAAGTAGATTCAACCATATTTGCGAAACTATTTCGAGCATGACGAACAGGATCGCATGCAACCCACTCGAACAATCTTCAACAGTTTTGAAGGATTTAAAACAGAAATTCGTAGAATCTTCGGGAATTCTAATGAGCTAGAGGTAGCGGAAGATAAGATCTTCAACCTCAAGCAGACAGGATCAGCATTGAAGTATGCTACGGAATTTCGAAGATATGCTGGAACAACCAAGTGGAACGAAACCGCCATTATGAGTCACTATTGTAAAGGACTCAAACCAGAAGTCAGACTGGAGTTAGAAAGATCTGCCGAGAGTGTAGACTTGAACGACCTAATCCAGGACTCCATCGAATCAGATGATCGTCTTTACCGATATCGACAAAGTCAAAGATCATACAAACCCCAGGGAAATCAAAAGCAAGAGCGTTACCGCAAGAATGAGGGAAGACCACGTTACAATCCACAGAGATATGGAGACCCTATGGAACTCGACGCTACGCACCACAAAGGTGGGAATGATGATCCGGAAAAGAAACGAAGACGAGAAAATAACTTATGCTTTGAATGTGGGAAAGCAGGGCATCGGGCAGCAGAATGTCGAAGCAAGAGAACAGGGGGCAAGAAGGGCAACTTTAAGAATAAGTTCGGCAAGGGCCAACTTAATGCCACCTTCACGCCACAATTGTGTGCTGTTAGCATGACAGGGCTAGCCACGCCACCACCAGCTTACGAAGAAGAAGAAGAGGTCGAAGGCCTCTCATGGGTAAACAAAGACCCGCAGTTAGGAGAATCATGGTCTATTCGGGAAATTGACCAATGGAACCGTCGTATCTGGAAATTTGGAGATACAGCCGAAGGAACTATGAACAAGGACCTCAGTGTAACAGACGCTGAAGAGGGCGAATCGTATGAGGTTCGGTACGTCGATCAGCATCGAATTCTATGGTTTGGAATCACTACGAACACATCATTCATAGAAAGGATCAGTACCGATCACCTTCAGTGGCCAGATAGAGGAGAGCTATGGGAAGTGTTTTATCATTACACATCTGAAAGAAATGAGAATCAGGTTTTATTTTTATGTAGAAGAGTAGGAAAAGAACATTGGGTCTAGGCTCAAGCCATATTACCACCACCAATCGTGGGTACGATAATGAAAGTCACTCAAGAGAACTACCAGTACACCCTATAAAGGGATTTACTTGATGACAGAGCTAGATCAAGGACAAGCACTATCTATCTAGAAAAGGAAGAGCCTCGACGTGTAACATTTGCCGATGAAATCATCCAGAATAGCGAGAATAAACAAATTACACCACAACTGAATGCTACAGGACAAGCAGGACAAATATACTGCAGAGTCAAGATAAACGGACAAATACAACAAGCCATGATAGATTCAGGGGCTACAGGAAATTTTATTGCACCAGAGGCTGCAAAGTACTTGGGAGTCCCACTCCAGAAGAAACAAAACCCCTACCAATTGCAGCTAGTTGACGGACAGCTAGCAGGATCTGACGGGAACGTTTCACAGGAGACACGACCAGTACGAATGAATATGACCCAACATTCGAAGGTTATACAGCTTGACGTTGTACCATTGGGCCAACAACAGATCATCTTAGGAATACTATAGTTGAAGGCACATAATCCCAGAATAGATTGGTTACAAGGAACAGTGACATTTGATCAGTGTAAGGACGGTTATGACGACACGTTCAAGGCGTCTGCGAGACATAACACGCGCCCAGGAGAGTTGAACGCGAACAACATTGGCGATGTAGGACACCCAGTTCAGGGTCCTTCATTAAAAGCGAAGGCCAGTACACCTCCTCTATAAATGCAGAAGCCAACGATATGGCAGGAAATCGCAATCAAGGCAAAAGAGCCTATGATACCAGAACAATACAAGAAATACAAACATGTGTTCAAGGAACCAGAAATCCATGAGGCTTTGTCAGAACACAAGCCATGGGATTATGAGATAATATTGAAGGAAGGCAAGATGCCTGTGCACACCCCAATTTATTCAATATCAGCCGATAAGTTGAAGATGCTCAGGGAATATATCGATGACAATTTGGCCAAGGGATGGATCAGGGAATCCACGTCCCAAGTGGCAAGTCCAACTATGTGGGTACCCAAGAAGGATGGTACTAAGAGACTAGTTGTGGACTACAGAAAGCTCAACACGCTTACAAAGAAAGATCGATATCCACTTCCATTAGCTACGGAATTA